TTATTATAAATATCTTTTGTTTTGTTTTCCTTTTTTTCTTTTTGGTCAAATAAACCATAGCAAGTTGAAAAAAAAAAATCGTTGAAAAAATTGTCAGTGTCAAAGCATTTTTGATCAATTTTTTCAACCTTTTTAGGGAATGGAACAACGAGTGAAAGGTAGAGGGGGATTAGGCAGTTGCGGGAGGAGGAAGGAAGGGGGAGATTGGAGGGGAGAAAGTGCAAAAAGCAACAAATTCGTCTCAAAGCTTCGATAATCTTTAATACTTTAATGGTTTCAGTAGTTTCGTTGCCGTGGTCTATGGCAAGTATTATTCATTTGGTGACAATAGTTGCCGTCAATTGTCGCTGCTCTTGTTATTTTATTGTCAAACAAATAAATCTTAGTTTGTCAGAGAAAGTTAATTAAGAGAAAAAACAGATGTTAAAACATATACTTCTTACTTTTACCATTAAAAAAAATTTTTTTTGCTTCATTTTGGTTTTTTCCCAATGCACACATTTACTTATTATTGTTTTTTTGCTTTTAAATTAGACTTTCTTTCTTCAGCTTTCAGCTTATATGTTACCAGAAAGACACTGGAAAACTCTCCTGGTTTTTGTCTCAGCCATCAGCCCCTTGTCCTCCTTTTCTGCCACTCATACCCTTGTCCCACACTCCTCGGTAATCCTTTGCCTCTCTACAGAGAAAGGAAGAAGAACCATCTAAAGATCATAAAGGCTAATTTCTTGTTTTCTGAACTCTCTGGATGAAAAAATGAGATTATTACTATCCTTTTGTCTACCCTGCTCCTTCTATCCGTTCAAATTTTGTTATCACTGTAATAAAAATTAGGCATTTATAAGCAAAAAAATAAATAAATAAGTAAATAAGTCGATAGAATTTATCCTGTCTCAGTTTTTCTGTCTGTAACTTGGAATTTCGTAGACAGCCAAATAAAGACGTTAAAGAAGCAAAACGAAAAGCGAAAAAAAAGAACAAAACGGTTTTTTGGTTGATAAAGAGAAAAAAAATCCACAAGATGAAAAGGGAAGAAAAAGAAGAAGAACACAAAAGATTGTCATTATTATTAGTTTTTTTTCAGTTTGGTTTGGTTTGGTTTGGTTTAGTCTTGCTTTTAGTTTAGCTTAGCTTGGCTTGGCTTGGCTCGGCTTGGCTTTCCCCCTTGTCTCTTCTTTTACTCCACGCCAATTCATCGACTCTCAACCAAAAAAATTCTCATTCATTTATATATATACATATGCACATCCATTAAAAAAGAAAAAAAGTAATAAAATCAAATCAAATCAACTTCTCTCACAGTTTTTATGACACAAAAAAGACTACTTAATTTAGAAGAGGTAACAAATAAAGAAAAAAAATATATAGAACTTTTGTTTTGTCTCATTTCCTTTTCACTGGTTATAACTTCCAGTAGAAAAACACTCTTTTTTAAAAATTTGTTCTGATTTAATGTTCAGCCTTGTTGTTGCTGTTGTTTGTTGGATTAACAGCTAGGATGTTGCAGTCTGCTAAAATCAAATACTGGACGCTGTATTTCTGCAAAACCAAATATAGCCCCTTTTTTTCTTTCTCTTCAGTATCTTTTTAACCATCCCCTTCTTCCATTTTTCAAAATACAATCAATCCCAAAAACGTCAACGAATATCAGTCAGTTATCAGTGCTATAAGCAATATTTTTGGATACTTTGCTCAGTTTATTCCTCCTTTTTTTATCTTTCCTCTCTGGTTTTTATTGTAACTGTTTATCTTTTCTCTGATGCTATCCAATAACATTAACTTGTCAGAAATACGTATACACATTTTGGAAGTCAAAAATTCAGTTGTTTTTCTTGTCATTGTTATCTCGGCTTAGCTTTTCACCGGCAGCTTACTGGTGTCTTCGTAAACGTCTCTAAAGGTCTGAAGTGGCAAAGAATAAGCTGGTGGTACGAATACGAGGCAAGAAAAAGGTGTAGAAACCCCAAAAATTGGAAGAAAAAAATTGATGCTTTGGAAAATTACGGAAAAATTTTGGGCAGGGTTGGAAGTGGGTGGAAAGGGCGAAGAGTGATGACGGATGGGAAAAGCAAATGGACAGCGAGCGAGACGTCGCCGTCTGTTGTAACGGTTTTTTGTTTCTGTTATCCACCAGCTGTTGTAATATATACCTCTTTACAACTAACGACATTACTAACAATGGCCAGAAAAGGTAAAAAAAAACAGTTGGAAGAAAAAAAAGGAAAAAAAAAGCAAAATTAAATAAGAAGAAGAAATAACAAAAACGAATAAATATTTTGGCAATTTAAAAGTTTCAAAAAGAGTAAACAACCAAAATTCTTGGAATAATAACCAAAAAATAGCGAGAAAAAAACGGCAACAACAACAGCAATAATAAAAGCTGAAAGAAAAAACGAAGCAATAACAACACCTGTGAAGAAGATGTTACCTTTGCGATTTCTGCTAAACAGCATAACCAAAAAAGAAAAGAATGGCAATAGCTATGAAGGGGGGGGGGGAGGGGAGAAAGAAAGATTTCTGTATTAAATCAAAAATATTTCGAAAGAAAAGTGTGATTTTTTTTTGGCCGTAGAAAAGAAAAGATTATAAAAAACAAAAAAAAATAGTAATATTTCAGTTAATGCAAGCAAAAAGAATGCAGTATTAATACAGTACCATTTCTTAATGTGTTAATGTTTCAAAGAAAAACAATCTTCAACTTTTCCTTCATCGCTCCGTTCTTCTGAATTTTTCGTTCACTTTTGTAACACCACAGACTTCTGTTCGAACAACAACACCATCTCCATCACCACCACAATCAACAACAACAACAACAACAACAACAGAGCAATCAAAGATCATGTTAAGTTATTGTGCTGAACACCGGCGGCTTCCCTCCGCAAAAAAAAAAAAAAA